CTGTTCCTCTATGCCACTGACAAACGGTCCGCGCGGCAATAATAGTTTCCCTCCGCGCGCGAGCTACGTTGGTTCCAATTGTTTTCGCCACTCCGCGATCGGAGGACGGCCATCGTCCGCCGCCACGATTGCCAATATTAACTGCGACCAGCCAGAAACGTAAACAACGCTGGGAACGGCCGCGTAGGGTCCCGGGGACCAAATGAAGGAAATAACCCCATGAGTTTTGTTTCCTCGGCTACCCCGACCCACGCCCCAACCGGCGACCGATAATGGTCTTATTTGACGTGGCTTCCGCCAGTGGGAATAAAATTGCCCGGCTTTATCGGCCGCGCTCCCCGGAATGCGAGAAATGTTATTTGCACTGGCTGCGCACGCTCGCCGCCCCAGCGATAACTTTACATCACGGAATCCCGGACCTAGGATTTGACGATGTCCTTTTATAGATTGACTCGGGGATTTCCCCTGCGTTTTATTGCCTCGCGCCCCGTCTTCCTTGCTACCGGCGACTGGCTGGCCATGACACGTATCTACGGAATGGTCGCGCTCAGCTGATACCTACCGTATACATAGGGTTGTAGGCGGATTCTCGTGGGCCGTAGGGATTATTGTAGTTGATAAGGGACGGAAATGATATTGTTGCTCTCTCGTGGTTTTTCAAGTTTTTCTGGGGATTCAGAAGTGTGTTCCGTGGATTGGCTGGGTTTATTAACACTAGAATTATCAGATAGGTCAAAATGGCCCATTTTCTGGTGTTTTGAATGAATTACTAAAGAAGCTGATTAAGTAATACCTAAGCTGACATTTAAAGCAGTTCAAACCTTAATAAATTCACGTTTGTAGTTTTTGTAAAGGAATTCTCATAAGTCAGTTTAAGGGTAGTTTTAGTGTTAAAGGTTGATAGTGGTATTAATGAATAGTTAGGTTAGATTTGGGTTACTATCTATATACAGGATTACAGACGGATTCTCGTGGGTCATAAGGATTATTATAGTTGATAAGCAACGAAAAAGATATTGTTGGTCTGGTTTCTTGGTTTTTGAAG